CGTCCTGTGCTTCCAGTAGTGTTACAGCAGTAGTTGTGCTTGCGTGTCGTCGCTAAAAATAATCCCAACTGGTGCTGAAATCATGAAATGATAGCGGATGTGTACTACCCTCATCCCCATACTCACTCTCATTGCAAGATCTACGTCAATAAGGGTTAATTTTTTTTGGCAGTGATTGATGTGATAATAAAGTTTCCTTAAAATTATAAGAAAATCTTGAAAACAGGATGGGTTGGCAAGGCCACTTGACTGTTTTCATTAAATGACAGTCATCATTAAACACACTGGAAAGGCTTCCCACTAGCAGTTAGTGAGTTGTCAGTAAATACATGGATTAACAAGGATTGGATGGCCGTGGTACAGGTATTTGAGAACATGTATTTTTGGAAGGCCTGCTGGCAACAATTCAAGTTACCATGGTTACGCAGAATTAAATGTACATTTTTGTCACTACATCAGTTACTTTGAAAATAATGTAATATGATATACTGTAGAAAGCTTTCGTATATTGGTGTACATTTTGGTTAAAAACTTCAAGGTCCAAGGATTTTTTTTGAGAAATGGGTAATATTTGTGTTATTCGTGTTTTTGCAAAGACAGGTCTATGAGCTGACCATGACATGGAAACATGCACAATGAAAAGAACTTTTAGAGAGGCCTGTCATGGCCTATCCCGAATCCCGAAAGGGTGTACATGTATGTCAAATCATCTTGAAATCAGAAGTTTGGGACTGTTAGGGTCAATTTCATAGGGGATGATAGAAAAGCATACTGCTCACAGGAGATCCAGGTTTATGGAACCGAGCATGTGGCACCCCTCTCTGGTTGTGCACAATCAGGATGGAAGGAATAAGACCTGGTTTCCATAGACACCATGCAAGAATCAAGATGCAGACATTCTCAAAACAGATGGTGTGTGATGTCATTCCACCTAAAAACAAAACAAAATAGAGTGCGAAACTCGGCAACTTTTTGCATAAAATTCAGATGCCTTTCTTATGTGGTAGTACCACCCCCTGACACCAAACTGATACTCCAGTTTCATGTGTTTTGTTTTTGGTCAGTTATTTCGTCGACAGTTGGTGTGATCTGGACAAAATGGACAAAATAAATAGTATTAAGTTATAATTTAGCATTATTGCGATTTTGAAACAACAATGATAAATTATGGAATGGCAACAAGAATAATTAAATGATGTAAACATGTACGCCCCAGGAGATAACACCAAGGAATCAAGTTTCAATCATTTAAAGAACTTTTAAGTTGAATTGTAGATAAGTGCAATCATATTTGTCTCATATATCTATGTCAATTTAATTTAAAGAAAGACAAAACCTAGTCTACTCTGCACTTGGCCATTATTCAGCATGCCATCCCATTTGTGGCACACACAGTGTGCGTACCACAGACATCCCAGCTGATAATGATCATTTGGTGACAAAGAAAACCGCTCAGACATGAAGAAAGGAATAATGAATAATGGGTCCCCGACCGATGAACTGGACCAGTCACCGTGGCAACCTAGTGTCATCACCAGGCAACTGTCAACATCTATGTACAGATGGTGGTTGTGGCTTGAGGTATTTACATGAAGGACTACACAGAGGCCCACCATGATTAGATACAATTAGCCTTGGAAATTAATTGCTCAATATACATGTACCTGTAAGCATGTACATGGAGCAAACTTTGACATATGTGACCATGGTGTAAATACATATGTATACATAAACTTGACTTTACAGGAATTTTATCGGAAACAAATTAGTACCATATTAGAAATGGCCTACGTTTTGGACTAAGCTACTCTGAAAGGAGCATGTATTTTCAATGACAAACGACATGGAAAATATTCATGATAGAAATCTTCTGGAAATTTGCAGTTATCAGAGAAAAAACCTGATTAGCACTAAATTTAATGTAAATATTTTGCTGTTCATGTAAAATCGAATTTTGAGTTATGAGCATTCTCAAAGTGATTAATCTCCGTGTGTGTTTCTTAGATACATTTGTCAATTGACTGATATTTCAATAAACTTTGTGACAGTTTAATATTCTAAGTACATGTAGTTGAGAAAAAAATCCTTTATTAGTAATTGTTATATGTTAAAAAAAAAATTGGCTGTTGTCTGATTCACAGGTGTGAAGCGCTTTGCTTATGATGGAGGGAAATCAACTAAGAGCAACAGTGCCAGTGATGAATGGGACAGCTTTGGTATAACCAAACCAGTTAAAGGTAACTTTCAGCATCAAAATGCATACCAGAGCCCAGTGTGCTGTTAACAGATGACTTGTGCTGAGCACCTTTTCACGCTCAGCAAAAATAGGCTGAGAACCAGTAGCGAGTGTGCAGTAGTATGGCATTTTGAGTGGTAGCCAGTCTCTGTGCTTAGCAGATTTCTGTGTTATAGGCACAGTGTGTGATTGGGCTAATGGAGATGCCCAATTTACTTGGCTGTGGCCCGGAATTATGTATGTGTCTGTGGATTGTGGCTGCAACCAGTTCCCATATAGTCGTGTGTAATTTCAAGCCATAGCCAAATGATACAGACATGGGCTTTTATAAATAGCATGATCGGTATTTTTACTGGTGTGTGTGACCTACATTTGCTAGTGATACTTGATTTTTTTTAAAAAAGAAATCAAAGAACTGGATGAGTTGAACAACATATGGAGCATCCAGAAGAACGTGTCACTCAACGGGTCGCCGTTGAAACCCCAGGGTACGACTGTCCAGGCTGCTCCCACTGGAACAGGATTCTACTCCCGGCATGGCCAGCACAACTCACTCAAGATGTCGGAGGGGACAAGGTCCTCCCCAAGTCTGAATACAGCAGCTCAACCCCGTAAGTCCAACGGCGATTAATCCGCTCCAAGGGCCAAGTGTTGTGTATTCTGTTGTTGTACTTTGGTGTCTCTTGGTTTTTGGCTTAGTTCCAAATAAAGCTTCCTTGCCAAATGAGCCAATTTTGTATTTCAAAAAGGCAAGGTCATTTAAGAACAAAGTACATGTATGCTTGTGAATCAGCATGTGGCCACACTGATAATGTAGATCTCTCATGCATGTACATGTATTTGCTTGCTGTTTCGATTGTGGGAATGGGTTGTTGGAATAGCAAACTGACTCATTGTAAATTTATACAGGCAAGATCATTGTTACCGCATGCTGAAAGCCAATCAGTTTTCTTGGATCTCTCTGGTTCATGGCAACAAATGAAATCAGTGAGCAAGGAGGCTGTTTGTCTTCACCCTGTGAGTTGAGGCCTCCCACCAAGTTGATGTACATGCACAAGTTGTTAGGATAAGAAACTACATGTCTCTGTTTGTCAATGTCACCTGCAGGGAGCTCCTTCTCCATGAATCCCCAGCGGTCGGGATATTCCTACTCACAACCTGATTCTGGAACCACTGCCACGACCTTTCCTCTTCTGTCGTCAACTAGTGGAGGGTCTAACTACCAGTCACAGAGTCGTTACAATGATGCAACTCATCCGGCCAGTAACCAAAGACATCTCCCTGGAACTACTGGTAAGATGTCTTCATTTGGGGGCTGAGCTAAGAGAACTGACTGGCACTTGGAGGAAAAAAGATAGAGCCCCAATTTTACTCACAAAAATTAAATATTCAGCCTTCTTTCCTTGGGCTGGTAACCCCTTTTGCATGTTTTGCTTCTTATGTTGTCATTTTATGGTTACTTTTATGTTTATTATTTGCGTACAGTTATGAATACAAGGACCTCTTCAATTGGCATGCAAAAGCCAAATCAACACTATTCTGCCGATTCCCAGCAGCCTGGAGGCAACAGCAACAGGTCATCTAGGACAGGGAACCATTGGCCAAGCTTCTGACTCTTGTCAACAATTTTCACTGTTGACAGATTCAAAGAGTATCCCTTTTTAAAGATTTGGGTCAGAGGTCAAATATATGAGGCACTGCCACTGTGTTCTATCCACAAGGCCATCAACTCGTATCCCAGTTTGCACCGGGGCACAAATCTTCACGTCAGTTTCACATGTGACTAATATCCCAGTGCTGTTTACATCTCTAGAAAAAAAAGCTGTCACATGAACAGTACATTGCCTGACTAAGTCAGCTTAAGCTCATGTGCAAAGCTGATGTGCAAAGGACTCATTTGCATATTTGCCGTATCAAAGAAAGCACCTGTGTCCACCTGTGCAAATCATGTAGAGACATAAGGTGATAAATCTCACAATCTTGTGAATTGTAAAATATTAGTTTGTGATTTTTATTGCATTGATGACACCTAATCTGAATCACTGTACATAATTCGAAGGAATTCTGACGTCAGAAATTTTTAGCGTGTACATATATATATACATATATATGAAATCATGTAACTTAAAAATTTGTTTGCTGTGCTTGTATGTGGTTTAACACTGAGATTAAAATTTATTAGAGTTTTATTTTTTCAAACATTCCGTATATATTTGAAATTTACAGTACACAGAGACCTACTGGTGGATTGAATATTGTACTTTTATGCATTTTTACATATCTGTTGTTGAACTTTTTAGTTACAATGTGTGATGCGATGTTCTGCATGTTCTGCACTCTTACTGTAGTCGAACAAAAATCCTTTACGAAACCATCATTCTTGTTCACAAAGTACACATCAGGAGCTGTCTCATCTCTCCTAAGTTTCACTTCCTAAGTCATAGGGAATGGTCACTTCTGCAACCACAGCACATATATTGTGTTCCACTCACTAGTCTAACAGACATTTGAAGCAAGATCTGGGACGTAGAGAACTCCCCCACCTTTGTGTTGGTCATTGTTTGATCGGAATCTCAGGAATTCTTTTCAGACATGGGGGGGATGTGTTTATAGGTAACAATAGGCTAGGGTGTGTATAGGGATTGGACATGTGAGGAAGGGTACCCTACCGTCCCATCTCTTGTTGGGTATACTAACGGCATTGTTCTGCTCCAAACACTTGAGGAACTCAACTCACAGCTGTGTGTAATGTGAGCCATAGCCAGGCACACTGTACCCCGTTTTGCTTTCCGGATTGAGTGGGATAAATTCAACCCTCTTCAGGTTGGATGAAGGTGTTTGATTACCATTCCATTCATGGTTTGGGTACCAGTTTGTTTGATCCTGTTACCAGTCGTAATAAATGGTTTCAGAAAACAATCTGGGGGTAGCAGAGTTATGTTTCACAATCAACTTGTTTAGACCATTGCCAGGGTTGTGTTTTGGTACTCTGAGAGTCTGAACGGCACAGGAGACTTCATCAAAAGATTTAGAATAGTAAAACTGGGGATAGTGACCCCACAAAAATTTCTTCGTAAAAAGAACAGTGTGTTCATGATAATGTCTGCTACCCAGTTTCTCATTTTCCCCTGAAAACCACCTCTGATTGGTTAATCCTATGAAAGGACATGTTGGACTGGCTATTTTTGTCATGGTTTCTAATAAACGGATGATACTATAAATTTGTTGTAAATTGGAAAATAATACTTCAAACTTTGCATATAACATTCTCAGGACCTCATCATTGTGGGTAGATGGTTTTCTAAAATTTTCTGAGAATGGAATTACAACTGACCTGACATTTGGGTGTTGGGATTTGGCAACCTTTTCTTAAGAGTATTCTTAATGCTGTTTTTAGGGAAGAGGTTTCAGGTACTTTCAGTTACTTTGTACTTTGAATAATTTCCTTCAATTTAAGACATAAAACGGGAATCAGGACCAAAAGTGCCTACACACTTCATTGTAACTCCTTTCACTGTTTTCTGTTATATTTCAGTGGAAAGAAACTGACCAATATTGAATTTTTTAAATACTCAAAACATAAATATGACTTAAACACTGCTTACGTAAAATAGTTCGAGTGTAAAAACCGTGGCAGGTCTGAACACAGATACCTCAACTTTTGTCAGTTTTCCTTCTTTTTGGAAATTTTTATTCTAAATTTGCAATTTACTGGTACAAGGCATGTGTGCTGTTTTAAAAATGTATTTTTGGTTTTCGGGTGAAGACATTTGTAAAGGTTCACCTTAATTTAAGACTGAATCAGATTTGTGGTGAGAAATACCAGTGTTAAACTGTTGTAGTCAAGACCACTTAAGACCTTCACAAGACCACACGAGACCAGCACAAAACCAACAGAAGACCTCCAGTCTGAATTCAGGTCACCAGCTATGCAAATGAACTGCAGCAAAAGCATTCCTTTGTCATTGTTCACCCTGTTACTTGTGACCGGTCTTGACTACAACACTTGTGTTAAGTCCGTGTTAAATTGGTTGTCTTCATTGTCCTGCTGGCTCAACCGTAACAAGACCTTTTTTATTCTGAATACAGGTATGGGTTTTGACAAGTGGGTTTATCTGTGGTCGAGTTTGGGCGGCCTGTTGACACGGGTTTCTTGTTCTCACGCTTGAACGGCGGGAACACGACTCAAGAACACTGTTCTCGGAACAGGATCACACACCTCCTCCTCGGCGTTTTACAGGAACACACGGAAAAACTCGTGAGATTTTGATTTTTGAACAGCTGCAAAAAGTACAGAGATGGCTTCCAAAGCCATAGACAATGGGAATTTTTGCAAAATTACCATTAATTATTTCCATAACACAGAAATGAATGTTCCTGTATATATAGAAAAGAATTCAACCCATCCAAACATTAACTCTCGAATAACGTAGCCTACATGGACGCCACCATGTTGCATGTTGCTTGTCACTTACTACCAGCGATAACCAATTGATTGTTCCCGGCGTTCTAGCAGCCGACCCACGAACAACAAATCGAGCTGTTCGTGAACGTAGAAAAACAAGCCGCCCAAACTCGGCTGACGTGCTCATGAAATAACTGATCAATTTATGGCGCCCTCTGTGTCTAGATCTTGTAGAACACCACCTGGCAGTACCTGCACTTTCATTTATAATTAAGTGCTGAAATGTTGGAATAGATTTGAAGTCTGAATTTATATATGTCAGTGAGGTTGACCTTTAAGTTGATATTAAATTTCACCTGAGGAACTACATGTACTGTTTTGTTTTCAACAGGTGCTTTGGCATTTGTGCCAGTGTTTTCTTCAGAATGAACAAGGAGAAGTATTCAGACTTTCCGTTTTCCTGACACACATGTAAATTATAATCAGTTCTGTGCAATGCTCGTGTCACAAAGTCACACAGTATTTAAACTGAAATTAGTCAGATACTTCCACTGGGTGTAGTTCCATAGATCACACTTTATTGCAAACTAATTCATCAGCTACTCTCTGCCCCGAGTTGAAGTGCACCCCAAGCAGCAAAAGAAAGACAGATGGTTGTACGTTTTCCAAGCCCATGCTGCATGTACGCAGAGACCATACATTAACCCTCCTATGCAAAGATACATTCTTGACACAGTTGTCCTATCAGTCAAAATCAGTCAAATTTCCCATGTGTGTCTGTGTACTGGGGCAAATCAAGTGGAAGGAATTTTTGACGGTTTGTTATTGACGGTTACAGCAGGAGGGTTGAGGAATAAATTCCTTACGCACCCTATGCGGCGAGTGCTAAAAAGACGCACCCTCTTCTGTTCTGCTAGGAGCAAATATTCTATGGAATCTACTTGTACACTCCAAAAAAAAAGGAACAAGTTTGAATAATTCACATCAAAGTATATCATTCATCTCGTCTTTTAGATCTGGTAGATTATGAGGACAAAATTTCAAATTGAAAGAACGTACAGGTAGAAGCTTTTGCTTTGAGCTGCAAATCAACATTCATTCAATTTCAACATAAGCATGTAATAACACCTCTTGGCTATTTAGCATGGAAACCCAACATTTATTATTTATATTACAAGTAAAATATAATAGACATGACTCAGTCCTCCTGTGTCGATTAGACATGACCTGTCACAACAAAATGAGAGTAAAGTCGCTTCCCACTCTTTCTCTACTTTGAGTGTTCAAAGTTATATTGAAGTGGAGGTCAATTTTTGAGTTTTGGTAATATTTGGAAAGTAACCCGTATCCTATTTAATTCCAAGTATTTCACAGAATCACATATTTAAAAATGTCATTTTCTCAGTAGACAATAGCATTATTCGTGCCTGGTCAGAAATGTTGAAACAATGTTGAGAACAAAGACGCAAAGCTGCCAGAATAATGCCACATTGTCACCTTACACTTTTACCGTAAGTGTTCCATGTGAATGCCATTGGAAAGCTCTCTTTATGCTGAATTAAAAAATACCAGTATCTAAATTTTTGTATCTAAAAATTCCAACTTTCAGCTCAATTTGTGGTGACAAGTCACATATAACTTCCATTGCTTGACATGCAATAAGACATGAACAATCCGAAGTAAATTACACTTTACACTAGTCGTTTCAAAGGGACGTAGGCTGCATCCAAATATAATGGCTGTGGCTGCAAATATGAACTGTTCCTATGGAAGCCACTGGCTAGCGGCCGAGGCAAAGTCCCATAGATGTGTACATGTATGATACTGCAAGCCATAGCCACTACTCAACTTAAACAAACCTGCCCCTCTGCACCACTGGGCATGTTGCCCTTCTAAAGTTTTCACCGTCATGGAAACCCGGGGGGGGGAAGTCATGGAAAAAATATACCCAGCAAGAAATGAGACCCAGGGGTACCCTCCAACATGTCCAATCCCTATACACATTCCAGACTATTG